TTACTGGGGGTGGGGGGGTGGGGAGGGAGCGTAGAGCCTGCTGGCCAGCCCAGCCCCTTTGTACAGACTTAATGGTGAAAGGGATCTAAATAAGATGGCCACTTGCCATGTGTGTAGGCAGTGATTGGCAGGCCTGATGTGGAAGTAGAGGATCAGGTGACCCATGGAGAAGCTCAAAAGCCCAGGGCTTAGGTCAAATGAGACAGCCTGGCTGCAGGAGCCAGCAGAGGCAGAGCTCCAGGTCAGAGCCAGTACAGACAGCTTGGAGGCAAGGGCTTCCTGGGGCAAGGACTGTGTGCTACAGATAGGTGGAAGAGGCCCTACATGGCAAGCAACAACAACATGAGATAAGTAATATGTACTTTTTGTATTTGTGTTACCCCAGGGTGAGAATTAACCCTGACAGAGAAGCTTGCATTTGGCAAGCTTGGTGTTTGAGAACCGATACTCATACTTTGATTTACATTTGCACTTGAGGATTGAAGTGCATGTAAAGGGTGGACTGGACGCCATTGGGCTGCAGTAGAGACACTCAGTTTACAGTGCTCCTCAGGGCCTGGAGCCCTAGGCTGTTCTGTGCACACAGAAGCCCGAATAAGAAGGATTGTGGCATGTTAGAAGACTGGGGGGAAGTGTAAACCTTGTGCCTTAAAAGGGGGCATACCTAGGAGCTGAGTGGCCCACGGCTTGCAGAGGGCTGAGCTGGATCTGGGGCCTAAGAACCTACAGTCCTGGTGTGGTGCACCCTGGGCCAAAGAAGCCAGACAGAGAAAGTGAGTCAAGGCCTGGAAGGACCTGAGTTCAGACAGGGACCTTCCCCAAATCCTATATCTGCCTTCCTATGAACCTATAACATTAAATCATGACAGGAAAGATTACTGTGAGGAGGTAGGACCCAGACAGTGCAGAAGCAAAAGTGAGGAAATTGGAGCCCAATGGCAAGCTGGGCCAGGAACCTTGGTAGCATCAGCCCAGAACTGCCAGTGTTACAGCGGGTTTCATATAGGACCTCCACATAGTGTGTTGGTCACACAGTGTGTATAAAAATGTAAACTGCATGCATAATATGAAAACATTTTACTTGCATGTTGCAGATCTAAGCCTCTTTTCTTAATAAGTGAAAGCAATTCGTTAGAATATCAAAGCTGTCCTTTAGGACCCAATTCTTCCACTCTTATTCATCTTAAATAGCATGCCAAGTGCTTAAAAACCTTGGGCACTTTTACACATGCTAGGATGTGGTACTGGGCACTTTTAATTAGCAAGCCATGCTAATTAAAAGTACCCAGGCATCATGTGTATCAGCATCATCACACATCCCTACTCTGAAAAAATGGTGACAGGGTGCTTTGAACTAAAGTTCATTGAATATGTTTTATTTCTAACATGCTCCACTGCCATTTTTCAGCATAGAGATGTGTGGCGATGCTGATGCATGTGACGTGGACGGCTGCCAGAGCATGTCAATTTCTGTGCTGCAGTAGACTCAATTAATTGAGTCTGCTCCAACATGCTGGATTTTAGCTGGCTCCAAGCACATGTGTAGGAGCCTATAATGTCTGATTCATCACCTTCACATCCTTGAATTTTGAAAGCTAGATCTGGTTTTAACTAGATGCTTTAGAAGTTAGAAATATATGAAGCCTTACCTCGTCAACAATTCTGTTAGTTGCACCTACTATAAATCAGTTGCTTAATAAGTGAGTGTGTTAAAAGCTATAGAACAAATTGCTGCTAAATAATAAAAAAGGAATAGATGATCAAATCTAACTGAAAGAGAAAAATGCTTAGCTGATACTTTGACAGCCTGTGACATCACCAGAGTGAACACATATTTAAAATATTTCATATGAAATATGGACATTTATGGAATGCAGCTTAGAGTCTTTTCAACAGCTTATTAAAATAGTCAACAGTTTTGAGCAATGCACAGAAAGTCTAGAATTATAACAAAACTGTTCATCATTCAAGCTAATACTGATTTGTAAGGCTCAGTTAATCATATCTTAATTAGTAACCGAATGCACTTTCATGCAGTTACTGGTGCAATAAAACAGGTAATAAGCCACAACATTATTAGAACTATGCACATGCTGGTTTATGTTCTAGCTAGAATGCAACAGAGCAGACTTGATCAATCAAGTCTGTTCCCAGTTCTAATTGGAACAATCCAGTGCAGCCTCACCATCATATGTATATGCCCCCACGTTTAAAAATGGCCATGGGGTACTTTATATAAATAATGTTGAATGAGGCTTAGATAAATTGTCCCACCACCGCTTTTAAATTCTTGGGGACTTAGTACATGTGAAAACAAAGTGTTTTAATTAGAGCAGCTCTCCAGGAACGTCTCTAATTAAAACGCCCCCCCCTCAACCTCTGAGCACAGGTATAGGCATCCTTTGTGGATGGTTCCCTTTGTGCCATAAAGTGATCAACACTCCCAACTTTGGGAGTTCATGGGAGCTTTGGAGGGCCCCCAGTTGCTCTCATGCGTGGGAGTGCAAGTCAATGAACTGGCACTCCTAGCTACAGGCACACTAGGCACCTGGCTTGCTACTTGCCTGTGCAGGATTGAAATGGGGATAATAAGCCCAGGATCCCTCTGCACCAGCAATTGGGTGCAATTTGTATCCGTTCCACAATTCCACATCTGTGCCTTGTGCCTACATGTGTGGCATGCCAGGACACACAATTGTTGGGATCATAGATCAGATCCCATTTCACTTGTAATCCAATATCTTTTAGTGGCTTGAATGGCCTTTATGAGAGCTATTTTAAGGAAGACTATGCAAGACAGAGTGACTCATTGTCACAGGTACGATGTCTGTACAGGGACTGCTCCCACAAGTGGGATGGTGGAACAAACTCAGTGCCCTGAAAGGCACTGGAGAACTATACAAAGGTTGACTATAAGAAAATCTGAGACATCCAGGACACTGCCCCTAACTCTCCCAAGTCAGTGGTGCTACTGCATGCAGAGGTGGGGTTGGGGTAGCGTGGTACACTGGGAAGATGTATGGTCATTCTACCTATACAGCAATGTGTAGCTTTCCTATACCACTCAAGCTTTGGAAAAATTCTGCCATTCAGTGTAGGATTCTGCTGACACAATCTGGATTAGTAGTGTTCCACAGCACTCTGGCTGTGAGGTGTTCTCTTAAAGGCATATCTGGAATTAAGGAAATAATATTTTTTCCTCAATATATTAAGATGTCATGAAGTAGTAAGTACTAAGGATGAGCAAATTTTGGTAGCCAATTCTATTGAGAGAAGATTCAGCCCAATTTGGGGACTGAATCTCCAAATCCGAATCGAATTGAGAAAACAATTAAAAGTTCTGAATTGATTTGAGGCATCCAAATCAATTTTTAAAAGCTTTGGCCACTTTGGAGATTCATCCATAGACTAAACGGGCCTGACACAGCTCCCTCCTGCTTGTAAGTCTGTTGGGGTTGGGGGGAGAAGGGGTATGGGGCAGGGAGGGATTGGGGCTGGGGCTTGGACAAGCTGCCCAGTTGGGACGGGGGGTGTAGGGCTCAGGG